ATTTTATCTCAGGATCAATAAACGTATAACAAACCAATTTAATTGATTCAATCGAATTGATTTTTTAAGTGTGTAAATAAATTGATTATACCCGGCAAGAAGGCTGGAATTAAAAAGAAAAAAATCAATTCTATTTAATACCTGATTTTTTTGTTATTTCGTAACTCTATGTAAGGAATAGACAGCAGCAAACTTGAATCCTTTTTCCCAATCAGTACAAAAACTTGCAGCAAACTTGAAAGATTGCAGTAGCAAGTTTGGTGCAAGCAACAAAATGTCCTCTTGTGGCAAGCTTGCAGGGCAACGTTGGCGCAAGCATGCAGCAAGTTTGCAAAATTTAATACAATGCGCAATTGCAAACGGAAGCTCCTACGGCTGCGCAATACATTTTTTAACCTCAAAAGCAGGTTGCTCTTTATGTTTATTTAGTAACAAATTGTTTCGAAAAAAATTTGTTTTAGTATTATACAAGCTTGCAGCAAGCTTTTGGCAAGTTTGCTTAACAACCTTGCCAAAAGAGGATATTTTGTTGCTTGCACCAAACTTGCTACATGTTTGTACTGCAATCTTGCACGACAAACTTCCTGCAAGTTTTCGTGCTGATTGGGTTAATTCCGGTTTTGTAAAGCGTGCAATATGAAATAGAATATATTTGAATGAATAGAAAACATTTTATTAATAATTTATTTATTGAAAAAAATCTGAGTTATTTTTTTAGTCATAATTTACATTATTCCCATAAAAAAGTGAAGGCGACTATGAAAATACGTAATATGGAACACAAGCGCTCTCGTGGGAAATATGTATAAACAGTGGGAAAAATTAGAAGTACGTTAAACATAACCCAAAAATACATTGCTCCTTATTTTTAAAACTTTTAAAATGGCTGAGTTTAACACAATCAGTGGCGCTAGTGTTCCATTACGTATTTTCATGACACTAAGCGGTTACCAAAATTTGTTCCACTTTTAACGCAGATTTAACATGGTCGTTCGGTCTCCTTATAGCTTATACTACTCCATGTATTTTATATTCAACGCATAACCTAAAAAAATGTTGAAACGATATATGTTCAATTTTTAATGCTTTACGTTTAAATTTATTAAACTTTTTACAAACATCATATTCACTGTAAATTATTTATTATTTACACATTGAACAGAAAAAACACAACAAATTTATTCACTATTACTTCTAAATAAAATGATGAATGAATATGAGATAATTTTTATTTAAAAAAAACACGAATTAGTATAAGGAGATCCCACTTCAAATGCAAAATGATGACGATTTTTCTTTTCTGTTCAAAGTTATCTTATAGCGTTATTACTAAATATGATTACATAACTATTAGACTGTAGAATATAATTAAATTATCATTCAGATTCGTTATTTTCATGAAATATTTTTGTAAATTGTATAGATTAAGATGTCAACAAAAAAAAACACGCCTAGTAGATTCAAAGCTCATGGAAAGTTTTCCAAAACAACGTAAAATAGAAAATAAAATTTGTCAAACTTTGGCTAAGGATACAAATATTTGTACATTTGAAGTTTTACAAAAGAATATTGATTCAATAAAATTTCCACACATCAACGTGGGCTTTTTCAAAAGGAAATTCTTTATTCTGTGGATTCCAGAAAGCGGAAAATAATTGTACTGTAAGAAAAAGAATAGCAATAGTTCCTAAGTTTGAAATTAAAATTTATATTGATGACAATTTTTAATTCCATTCTGTGAATTTATTCGTGTAATGAAATTTGAAAAATTATTGCGGAACTTGTCGACAAGTATCCATTAACTAAAAATTGCAAATAAAAATAAATATTTAGTATTATGTCGATAAATTCAGATTAAGAAAATAGCCTATTCCTCTTGACAATTAATTTTTTTATAAATATTATAAATTTTTGTCAAAAATATTTGCATTTATTTTCACAAATTTTTCATTAAATATAACGAAAAAAAAACAGTTTTCAATTAAATAAAAGTGTTAAAAAGTATATTATGTTTATATAATAACTTATGAAGGTTGAGAATCCTACCGTCGCTTTGCGAGATCCGTGCAAATCTTAATACAAAAATATATGATTCAAAGTTTTTGATACCATAGAAGATTTTTTAACATTATTATTATTTAATACTGCCGAGTGATAAAATCAAAATTATAATATTATTATAAATTTTCAGAATTAATATAGTTCCAAGTGTCCTGAATGAAGAAAAAATTATGCCAATGTCAGGAAATAAATAGTTTGGCTAAAATAAAGGATTAAATCTACATATGAACAGAAAAAACTAATTATTAAATCAATCACTGTAAAACAAAAGGTATATTAATTTAATACCGACTCTAGGTACTAAATTGTCTTTTGGTTCCATTTTGATACCTAAAATCGGTACTATTTTAGTACTTTCTTTTTACAGTGATATTTACGCAAAAGTAAAAAAAAACACTATTTCCTGACATTGGTATAATATTTTCTTCATTCAGGACACTTGTTACTATAAATTCCAAAAATATATAAAAAAATTTAACCAAAAGCCAACTTCAAAACTTTTTCGTGTCCTTTTCAATTTCAAACTCTGGTTTTCAGACTTGTTTGAAAACAAAAAAATGGCATTTTTTAAAGAAAAAATGTTGTCCTCAAAGGGTTAATTATAATAATTGAATACTTAAATATATTACCAAATAAATATTTATTTGTATTAAATAATTTTTTCAACCAAATAAACTGTATTTAAGTTAAAATCTTTTGACTCAAAAATTAAAAATTTTAATATACAAATTGACTCAAATAAAAATTATTTGCTTCAAGGAAATATTTATATTTGATAATAGACAAGTAACTGATTATTTTAAAAAAAAAACAAAAAATTTTTTTTCAGTGTAACGATAAAAATTTTCACACGTATTCAAACGAAAGGACTATATAAACGCATATATATATCGTATAAATGCAAAATGAAATAAAAAAGAAAGGTTAAAAAAAAGTGGTTGAAAGTACATCACGATTAAAAACAGGAGTCTATCGATAACTAGAAAGATCTTATCTCCAAGTGCTCCCAGTTTCGATGATCTAAAACCATACCCTCAAGGTAAAAAGCGATCGTTCTTTGAGACCGCCGCATCGCGTCAACCACGCCCTATCACCGTCGTCTTTTTCGCCCTTGCGGTTTTTAGAATATGTTTTGTTCCCTTTTCCTGGTGGCACTCAAAGCCCGGGAGCGATGAATCCTCTCAACATATTACGATTTTGACATTTTTCTTTATACTATATAAAATCGATATATACACCATAAGTAAAATAATCTACATATATGTTTGATTTTTTCAACCACTTTATAGCAATTTACATATTTAATTTTTTTATTCAAATGTATCATGTGATAAATTTTTTTTTTTCATTAAATTTTTATCTAATTGTTTCTCTAATAAAAAAATGTAAAATTATTTTTAATTATTTTGTAAAAAGAATTTTTAATTTAATTTTTTAAGTGAAAATTCAATTTTACAATATTGGAAAGTTTAATATAAAAAATTTCAACATTTACGAGAAATGGTACTTGAAATGGCGCCAAAAGGAAAAAGATGCCGACTTATATTGAAGGTGCATACTGCACGCATACCTACATATATGTATATATATGTATGTATGTATGAAGAATATAAATCTTCCAAGACAGTGATGTCCGTGCGGTTTGCCGGAGGCATTATAGCCAAGTATGCCGTCTTACCAACAGGATCAACAAAATAGAGGAAAAAATTCTGCGTACTTTTCGCAACACGACACCCATTAATTAAATCAAGTTTTATTCTTGCAAGCACTACTGTAATTTTACATAAATACTGCAGCATCAATGCCTTGACCTAAACATTAAAGATTGTCAGTTCCAGGGAATTTATAAATTTCAACAAAATATACATTAAATTACAATTTTAATATCATTTCAAAAGGTCAAAAAAAAAAAAAAAAATGTTTACATTTTTTTTTTGCATTCTGGATATTTTGCATTCTTGTGAAATATTTAATAGATTGATTTAAAAATTTTGTAGATAACTTAAAAATAGCACACTAATTCACTAATTTAAAAGTATCAAATTGATACAAATTTTTATGTCAATATTTGATATTTTTTATATCAATTTGATACTTTTAATTTAGGGTGAGTAAAAAGATTTGTGACGCGCTCTAAAGAAAGGGACCTTAGAAGCAAACGAATTATAGGTTATGTTTATACGATAATTTTTTATTAAAAGTTTATTATTATTTATATGAAATAAAAATTAGTTTTTATTGAATATATTGAATGTAATAAAGACTTAAATATCAATAATTTGTATTAAAAATTGATCCTCTATGTGTATTTTCACTTCGAAATTTTTAAACATAACCTATAATATTTTGCTTCTAAGATATCTTTCTTCAGAGTGCGTCACATTTGTTTTTGTGTGCCACATTTGTTTTTGTGTGCCATATTTTATTAAAAATTTAAAAAAAAATTATTTTTAAAGAAAATGCATATTTGAGGAATTGACCAAAATTTCCGGTGGAAAATTTACAATTGGCAAAAGAGTGGCCCAATATTGGTCCCATAATGGCCCAATGGTTACCATTGCGGCAATTTTCCACTGGGTTTTAGTGCCGATATTTTTTAAAAATAAACTTTTTGAACAAATTTTAATAAACTCTGGAACATGACAAGGAATCCTTATACTATTTTTGAGTCCTCTATAAAATTTTAATTCAATCAAGTATTTTCCAAAAATTCTGCGGAGAATATTTATTTGTGAAATCATAACAATAATCACATAACCTTAAGTTAACTGTTAAATATGGTTTAATGTGAATAAGAAAATATTTTAAAATTTTATAATAATTAATAAAGCATTAATAAAGCATTATTTAAAAGTTTTAATTATCCATTTGCAATAACAAATTAAACATGTCCTACACCAAAAATAATAAATAATGCACTACCTATATACATGACTTACCAAGTTATAACCAAATAACACGCACGTAACACACAAAATTTATAATTATACATCCAGTGTAACTTTTGTAATAATAAGACTGACTCATAAAAATGTCAGTAAAATTTCATAATAATGAAAAATTTCAAATATATAAATCTTTCTCCTGACTGGTGTAAATTTCTTCTATTAAAAAAGGCACATTTTTTTTTTGGCAACCATTTTTAAAATCAAGTCAACGTAACCACGTGGTTTTTATTGTTGATAAAATTCAAGATGGCTAAAAATGAAAAATAGCTATATAAACTAAGCACAAAAATTAACTGGAATATTGAAGAAACTGACAAATAATGAAAATGACTATATATGTAAATAGTGTGACACACAATGTTGCAAGAAATGAATTGAAAATTTATTTAAAGGGAACGATGTTGGCAGGTGTAACGCGTAGCAGCAGTAAGTTGCAACTGATCTCTCACATAACAACGGCCGATAAAATTGTTGCGTTTCCACCAAAAATTATCCTCTTTTTTTCAGGTTAAAAAGTACAAAATTGTGGTAATTTAGCCCCCACCGTTGGCCAACCATGAGTCGAGCGGTGGCATCGAACCAGTGAGGGGGGAAGAAATGAGGGCCTTTTGCTCGCCTCACTAACAACGCGGGAAAATTATGGTTCAATATATATAGCTGAGGTTAATAGCAATAACTGAAGTGGATTTACAAGCTCTCTTGACAAAATAAAATATCTTTCCACATATTTTCATTTTATTATATTTTTATATCTTATTTAAAATTCTCAACACAAAAAAGAATTACAGCTTTTCATTTTCAAATATTTTATATATATACAAATATTTATGTATATTAAATTTTTGAATATTTTTATTTTCGTGAACATTTTCTCGAACCGATATCATGTTGAAAGTATAGTAGAGAAGCTGCTAGTGTACTGCGGTTCTCCACGTTGAATATAAGCCTTCTGAGAGGGGTACACTTTGAAATTAGTATAATCATGATCAAAATTACTCGCGCCACGCGGCGCAGAACCACCAACCGCTGCTCAAATAGCCCGCCCCGCAGTCGCCAATCATAGTTGAAGATTCTTCGGCCATGTTGCGCAGAAATTGTTGCGCATTGGTAGCTTCAAATTACCGCAAAAGTGCGGATATAATAATTTTCTTTGAGAAATGCGCGTTCAAAAGTCACAGATGAATTTTAGACTGCAAAGAAACCGTAAAACGTGTTTATATAACATTTACAAGCAGAAAAAAGACTGTACCTATTTTAAAAATATATTGTTTTGGTTTATATAAATTGAAAAGTTATATTGAAAAAGATGTTATCATCAAATTCGAGCCATATACCGCATTTGTTGCGATAAGCTTTTGTTTTGTCAACAAAAGACCAACAAAATAAACATATTTTGTTGCGGCGTAATAAAAATTTAGTTGGAATATAAAATATATTCAGAATCGCCTAAAACCTTTTACTCGTGGATTTTTGGGGTCGCTGATTACGAATCTGAAGTCAGATTTCCAAAATTCAAAATAGCGGTTCCAATATGGCGGACGATTATTTTAAATGCTCAGATTCACTTGAAACTGGTTACTCGGGGGTTTTCGGAGTCGCTGATTACGAATCTCATGTCAGTTTTTCAAAATTCAAAATAGCGGACGAATTTTGAATAAACTTAACGTATTTAAAACTCTTAAGAAAGTAGTTTTCTAGAAAACCCCCGTGTAACCAGTTTCAAGCGAATCTGAGCATTTTAAAATAATCCTCCGCCATATTGGATTCGCCATTTTGAATTTTGAAAAACTGATATTGAATTCGTAATCAGCGACCCCAAAAACCAAGTAATTGATTTAATAAATTAAAGACAGATCAGCAAAAATGGAAAATTATTCAATTGACGATTACGCCAAATAAGGATTATATTTAATAAAGATTAGACCACATAAGCATTGGATTAGAGATTATCCCACACAGCACATGATATTTCCTAAATATTTCTGAAATATTTCATTGAAATTTTGAAATATTCCAATGCGAAGTCCTTGAAATATTACTGAAATTAGGGAAATGTCCGCCTATAAGAAATATTGCCGTGTAATTTTGCTGAAATGTTTCCTAAATATTGCAGAGTCTTCATGTGTAATATTGCAGGAGTATTAAAGTGTAATATTTCAGCAAAATTGCACTGCAATATTTCTTATAGGCGGACATTTTCCTGTTTTCCTCAACATTTCATGAACCTTGCATTGAAATATTTCAAATATTTCAATGAAATATTCATGAAATGTTTAGGAAATATAATGTGCTGTGTGGGATGTTATTTAAATTTTGAAGTTGAAATTCCTGCTCCTCAGTATGTTTTTGTTTTGTCAAAGCAAAATATTTTTCCCCTCTTGTAAATATTGAGTAATTCTGCGCATAAAAAAATCTTATTATTTTCAAGTAAATAACATATTATATTTATAAAGTGTCAGTAATTGTATTACCAAAAAAGAAATTTCTTGATGTCAAATATGCCAAGAAAGAAAAAAAAAGGAAGGCCTTTTTGTAAATAAATTTTTATATTAAATTGAGCGTGAGACCACAAGACAAAATTGTTGATTCTTGTCTTGAGGCGACGATCATTTACTATGTAATTATATATGTAAGAACAGAATCTCACATCTACTTTCACATATGCCACGCCGCGGGGGACCCCCGCACTACTTTATGCGTTACGCTATATAAAGAGTAGCCGGTGAAGTGATTACAGTTTGTTAATTATATCGATGGACGCGGTACAAACCTAAAATTAGAGGATCCGGATACTCGCGTGGATACTGCTACTCTTATTCTGAATTAGAGATGAAACAGTCGGTTAATGAATTAATGACAATACATTAGGTTAATTATCTTTCAATTGAATTATTACTCAAGGGTTTTCTGAATCATGATTACAAATGTCACATTAAATTATCAAATTTTAAAATAGGCGGAAATTTTTTTTTAAAGTTTGGCAAATTGGTTTGAAATCTGTATATCGAAACTACCGTTGGTGTCCCTTTTTAGGTGTTTTGCGTAATTTTTTAAACAGACATAAACACAAGAATACGTTGTAATATTGTTTTTTTTTTAAACTATTCTTTATCCAGATGTAATACTGAAAGTGAAATTATTACTTCTCTGGAGTATTTTAACATTCAATTAAATTTACGACTTTATAGAAGCAATAATTACATCTACATTAATATGTATGACGCCCTCTTCCTTTGCACTCGTCTTACGCATAAATCCGCATCAAAAAAAAAAAATACTCCAAATGAATCGATTCCCCAAGTAGCATATTACAATAAACCCTGTAATATTGCAGGGTTGTTTTTTTCTGAAAAAAAATCCATTACGTGCCACTTGGTTCTTCATGAAATTTTCAATAAGAATCGATTTCATTGGAATTGTTCTTGTTCCTTTAAATATTGACATACAAAATTTGGACGTAGGTGTAAATATTTGATAAATTGGCACTTATGAATACAAGTTGTGAACCATTGCAAACTTACAGAAGAGAGAGAGAATAAAGTCTGCCAATCCCTCTATTGCGTTGGCAAAACTTCTATACCTATAGGGCACGAATAAGAATTAGGCAGCCGCAAGTCTAGCCACCGCTTCGGTCCTCTGTAATTATATACAATCCTTTTCTTTCTTCCTCTAAAACACATTCTTTCTTCCTTCTTGTTGGCTCATATACCGTCGAAAGATATACCCTTACCAACTGTTTCTTTTTACACCGCGAAAGGTACGCCAGGGGCGATCAGCCGCCTTTCTTTGTGGTATTCTTCGTTTCCTCAGCGTAAATGACTAACTGCTTTTCGTTCCCCGAAAATAGAATTTATAGGTGATTCTATAGACACGAAAGATTAGTCAACCAAAACTGCAAGCCTTTTGCACTTTTTATATATACAATGGGCGAGGATTCTTCAAAAAGAGGGCATTTTCTTATTTCTTTGTATTATATCATCTAAACATTTTAGTATTCAATTATTTGCTAGAATGTCATTTAAAGATCCCTTAATGATAACTTATAAAGAAGTATAATTTTTTATATAATTTTAGTGAGAAATAATATTTAACATCTAAAAAATAACATTTCGGTTTGTTCTGACCTCTGCGAGTACCAAATATTAGATATCTTAAATTCTTAAAACACCCCTTCTTAAATTTTCTTGCAAAGTACGTGAAAAAAATTCAGTTTTTCTAGTTTCTACTTCCGTGTGGTTTATTACAGACATTTTTAGATAAAAGTGACTCAAAATATGTTTTTGAAAAATGTATAACATAACATAACATTTTATAAATAATTTCTTTTTTTTTAAATAAAATTCACTTTAAAAAAGCTCTGCTCGCGATCGTCTTTGAACGGTTTAAAATAGAATGCCCCACACATATTTAAACGAGGGTAGTTTATTGTGTCTCTTTAAATTTACACCTACTGTTTTATTCAATGGCATATATATAATTTTCAACAAAATAGTATAGTATTCAATATATATAATCTTGTTATGAAATAAAGATTTTCACAAATTCGTGATAAACTATGTGTATATACAAACTTGAAACTTCCAAGTCAATGAAGCTTGTCTCTAAAAAGAGAAAATACAACATGAGAGAGTTGCACGCAATGTTGAGGGCGTCGTAACCGCAATATTATAGATTAATGGTCGACGTACTTTTAGACACTACATTCTTGAGGGGAAGTAAAGACAGTCGCCGGGGCAATTAATATGGTGTTTGGTAAAACCAGGTACTTTATATACAAAAAAAATTTTTTTAACCGAACAATATTCAATTCAAAATATATATAAAAATTCTTCCTTGAATATTTAAGCATGAAAAAAGAAGGATAATTACTGAAAATTATTTTTTTTAACTTTATACTATATGTTTACTGAAACAGTTCAAATGGAAATTTTAGATATACGCAGGGTTAGAGGGCATCTATATATTTTTGAAAATAAAAAAATTAAATTACTTTAAAATTTTAGTTTTTATTTTAAAAAAAAAATCCCTTTTTTAAACATTTTATTTGGAATCTTATACAAAGTGTGTCAAAATACCCGGGGCCAGAGCAGTTTGATCTATACAGGAACTTATTTATTTCAAACATATAAAAATTGACCTTGTAAAACAATTTCTGTTAGTTTATGTGCGTCATTTAAACTCAACCAAAATGTATCGAAATCTTTTATTTTTTTGACATACATATAAACTTCACAATAATGTTGCAATTACAATTAAATTTGGTTCATACTGACAGTTTACCAAATAAATTTAATTTAGTTCGAGAGCAAAATTAATTCAACCTATAATTTTTGAATAAATTTACTCCGATTTATAATACGGAGAGGATTTTGACTCATTTTTATATACAATAACTTTTCCTGTACAATACAAGTTAGTAGAACACAGTTTATTAACGTAAACATTTTTTTTTAAAGAAAAATTCTTTTGGGAAACTACCTAATAAAAGTTTCTTGTCTGAAGTCCAGAGTTTGAAATTAGAAATTTATTTGGCCTAATCTCAATTTAATCTAATCCTAATTTGTACTAATCGTCAATTGTCCTAATTCTCATTCGGTCTATTCTTAATGGAACCTAATTCTTATTTAACATAATATTTATCTATCCTAATTCTAAATTAACCTAAATTTGCAATAACTTAATACTATTTTGGCCTCATCTTAATTTGACCTAATGCTCATTTGATCTAATTCTTACTTGGCCTAATTTTCATTTGTTACCTGATCATAAACACAAAGCATAAGAGAGAAAATAACAAAAATATGGCTTGTCACATTCTCTCTCATGCTTCGTGTTCATGAGCGGGTTACAAATAAGGTTTAGGTCAAGTGAGAATTGGATCAAATGAGGATTAGACCAAATGAGAATTAGGTTACATTAAGATTAGACCGAATGAGGATCAGAATATAGTAATATATTAGGCCAAATGCGAAATAGGCGAGATAAAATTTAGAGCGCATAAGAATTAGGCCTAAAAATGAATAGGCTAAATAAAAATTAGGTCAGATTAATATTAAAATAAATAACAATTAGGTCATGAAATGTTTAGACCAAATGAGAATTAGGTGATGTAAAGATTAGATCGAATGAAAATTAGCCAAAAAAGTATTAGGTTATTGAAAATATAGGCTAATTTATCATTAGGGCAGATAAATATGACGTAATATAAGAATTATGAATTCCATTAAGATTAGACCGAATGAGAATTAGGACAATTGACGATTAGTAGAAATGAGGATTAGATTAAATTAAGATTAGGCCAAATAAGAATTAGTTCATATACATATTACACTAAGTACTAATTAGTCCGTATGACATTTAGACCCATCGAATTTATGTGTTAGGCCATTTGAAATTTGGAGTGCGCCTCGATATTAATTTTTTCAAAACTTCATTATTATAATTAAAGCCTCTAAAGTGGTATATTTCTTCACATGTAGTTGTCGAATTCATATATTATATATACCAAATAAATGAAAATCACGCAAACTTTTTTTCCCTACATGTTTGCGATGGAAAGTTTACATTGGAAAGCTTAAATTTACGATGTTAAATGATCAGAGAAGAGGTACATATCGCGTTCTTGTTATAATGTAACTTATATGGTTTGCGATAGATTTTGATCTATATATATATATATATAAGCGATCGCGTTGAAATTAGGGGTCTGATTTTCATGACGATGAGGACAAGGAGGCAAGGCATTCATGGCTCTTCAGCTGGAAGTTGAGAGTATAAAAATCGCGGAGAATTATGGCTACTCAAATGCAACGGGCAAACGAGCCGACGTCTTTGCTTGAACAAGGGCAGGAGTCTCCCTCGCGGCCAAAGGTGGTATCCGCGTCTGATCGTGATAAGATGCAGCGGTATCGATTGTCGGGTGACAAAGGGCCAGAGAAACGCCTCTTTAGATCGGGAACGCAACGCAACCGCTTGCGGGGGCGTCCATATTAAATGGACCTACTTCCAGTCTGCCAGTTTTGTTTATTACTATTGCGTGAATTGCATAAACTTACTGAAAGCCTTTCTACATTCTATATATATATTGTATACATAAGTTTTGTATGATGATAACCACGTGTGTGCTCAAATTTTCATGTGGTTCGAATACATATGGAATCAATGCGGAAATTATGTCAAAAATGAGATCCGGATCAAAATATGGCACAATGAAATTGAATTGTAAACAATCTTGAAGTTTTATTTGAAAATATTTCATTGTATACTTATCTATACAAATAAGCTTATAGACTTTATTTGATGTCTGTATACTCTCTAAATTTGAATCAGTGAAAAAGTCACTGGTCTCAAATCAGTCGCTAAATTCTAGCTATTTGAATCAGTAACATTTCACTGATTTTCAGTCAAAGTAATTGATTCTCCAGTGAAATGTCATTAACTGTCAGTGAAAACCACTGATTCAAATAGCTGGAATTTAGAAACTGATTTGAGACCAGTGACTTTTTCACTGATTCATATTTAGAGAGTACTTTCATTGAAACTTAAAAGTTTTTTATGATAAATTTGTTGGCTTTCTTATTTTTAAACATCCCAGTTTTATAATACAAGACAAAAATTGTTCCAAACAAAAAGATCAAGATCTTTGAAACCCAAAAATTGGGCGCGGAACCCAATGTTGGGACCTACAATGAAAAAAGTGGTTTTTTTAAATGAGACCACTAATTTTCAGTATCAAATTCGTAATCCCCATGAAATTCTACGTTCAGACATGTGGTATAAGTGCCCAAAATATTGGGAACAAAATTTTTCTACATATAAATAAATTTTAAAAAAATCGCATCTTGGAGGGTTTTTAAGATCACAGAATTAGATTCTGAAATGGATATTGAAAATTAGTGCATTAGATGCGATTTTTCAAATTTTATTTATCTGTAGAAAAATTTTGGGCAATTATATCACATGTCTGAACGTAGAATTTCATGGGAATTACGAATTTAATACTGAAAATTAGTGGTCTCATTTAAGAAAACCACTTTTTTCATTGTAGGGCCCAACATTGGGCTCCTGACCCAATTTTTTGGTTTCAAAGATGTAGATCTTTTTGTTTAGAACAATTTTTGTCTTGAACATTTTTGGTTGATCTACATACCCAGGAAATAAAAACCTATATTCAATATTTTTGAATCGATCGGAATCTGTATTGAATCCGCCGCATTCTTAAAAGGAAATCTCCAATTCAAATCATTTACATTTTTCAAGTTTTTCTTCCTCATTACTTGTAAGTTGAGAGACAGTGATATTTATCTTTTCAATTTTAAAAGCATTAAGCAAATCTAACACTCCAGCGTATAATTTATTTACAAAGCTTGTTTATTAAAAATTATTAAATTTTGTGCGAAATATGACAACATAACCTAAAATTTTTTGATCCAATTCAAAATTCATTAAACTTTTCATTAATATAGAAAATTACTCATTGAAACACGGAGAAAAAAGATTTCTTTTATAAAGTAACTTTTACTACTTTCAGAGTAAAACTGGACCAACTCGAAGTTTCTGCGCATCTCTGGCAATTTTTACTCCAAAAATAGTAAAATTTACTCTAGAAATAGTAAAACTTACTACGGAAACAGTAAAATTTACTACAGAAATAATAAATTTTACTATTTTTGGAGTAAAAATTGCCAGAGATGCGCAGAAACTTCGAGTTGGTCCAGTTTTACTCTGAAAATAGTAAAAATTACTTTTTCTTTTTCTCCGTGGACGAACTCCTATTGAAAATGTTACATTCCGATTAAAAACCTTAATAATGAATCGGCATTCTTAAAATGTCTGATACACTATAGACGGTGCATTTAATAAATTTTTTTTCCTGGGTAGAACAATATTTAATTTATATTATATTGCGCACTTTGCATACACGGATAAAAATACAGTAAATTTAATAAACACAGCATAAACTTTAACTTAAAATGATTTCCGAACGATACGCACAAAAAATAATTTTTTAGGTTAAGAATCATGTCAAAATCTTATTGGATAAGTTGACAATAAATAGACCTTTTCATGCTGATCGTTGTGTCCTTATCTAGCGCATATAATGACGCATGAGTTGGAAGAGAACAGATTAGCATGAAAAGGTCTATATAAAACATATATAAAATAATAAGTGGAACATCTCAATTGTGACATTTGGCAGGGAATGGTAGTTTTTTTCGATACATGGGGTAGAACTAGAATAACGAAAATCAGGGTGAAGCAGGTGTCATATTTTGGATTTTCTACTGGTTTTTCAGTTGAGATTTACTTGCGCCCATTATTCTAAACTAACCTTTAAGTTTAAACCAATTATTTTACATTCAAACAAATAATATTTTTAAATGAAATGTGATAAAGATTTTCCATATATTAAAATACAACTTACAAACTGTGTACAAAATCGTTCAAGCAGATATCTATATTTAAATTAAGAATTTGTTTATTGGAATGTGAATTTACTATAATTTTTATTACTAAAAATTATTAATTACTCAAAAATATTTTTTGCAAATTTTTCTTTTATTTAATTTTTAATTACCGTGGATGTCCCAGTTACCGTCCACCTAAGACCTAGTTTCCGTCCAGTTTAATTTTCAAAATAACATTTATAAAAAAATTATTTTCTTTTATTTGTTTACTTAAACTAATAAGTCGATTGTGTGACAAAAGGAATAAATTATTGTTAAAAAATAATTTAAATTACTATACGAGATATTTGTAAAATGGACGGAAACTGGGACATGGACAGTAACTGGTACATCCACGGTACTATAATTTATTTTTTTCAAAAAAGTTATAGTATATGAGAAGAACAGCGAGATTTCTTGTGACAAATAAATTATTTTTCCAAAATTTAAACCCGAAATAATTTTTTATTGCAGAGAAAGTTTGAAAGCACAAAAAAAACGTCCTTTGCCCACATACCCTTAATTATTTGAAGATTCAATTAAAAAAAATAATTTATTTGATATAATTTATAGAGATCACAATTTTTAATTAAAATAATAATAATTTAAATGAATTACATTAAATCTTAAAATTACCTATGTTCCATGGTGCCTTATTTTTAATTTATTTTTTTTTATTATTTGTTTGAACGTGAAAACTATTCTTCAAATTGCCACGAATATTTGAAATAGTTCAGTAGGTATTGTCGAGTTTTCGATAGGTGCTGACATCCAACGTTAGAATCAGTTAACCTAGTTGTGCATCAGTGTTTCGTTTCGATTTGTTTACTACTTTACTGTGCAACTGTTCACGTGTATGAATTTAGTTTACTTTGATTTTGTTAAACATTATTTTTTTTATTTTTAGTTGTTATTTCATGTTTAATTAGTTTAAAAAAATGTTCCCCTTAAGTACACAAAAGAAACATTGGGTATTTAGTGATGAAAAGGATTTAATAGAACTGAGACGACAGGCTAATGCTAATTTTGTTGAAAAACATGGCAATAAGATGTCAGTAAGTAATTGTTTCTGATTTCAATAATATAAAATTAATAAAATTAAAGTTTATTTTTATAGATTTAATAAACCTTATTTTACATTTTTTGGTTAATTGTATTTTTTAAAAGAAACTTATTTTATAATGCATGTATAGGTTATGTATCTTTACCTTTTTTTTTACTTGTTTTTATTTAAAAACAAAGAGTCAATAATTATTTGTTAACATTTAAACAATTGATAGCTGTTTAAAACCATTTTTATTTTGAATAATATTGTTACTTTCAATAATATTTTATCTATCCATTATTTATATAAAAATAACGTTTTGTTAATTTCAAGTCCTAGAATTAACCTTTTCAAGTTAAAAATTTTATAAATTTAATATTTCTGAAACGAATATTCAAACGAATTTGACCTTCGTCAAATTTTAGTATCACATCAATTTATATTATTTTAAAAAAATCTGTAAATCCTAAAATTTTTTGGAGCTTTCAGAAAAAAGTTATCTTAAAATAAAATAATTTTATAACAATTCTATTATTTTTTTGTGGAGAATAAACTGATTTATTTTTCTGATAAGCAATAATATCTTATATGTAAAACAGTTTTTAAATAATAATATTTTTAATTAAAAATGTATCAAATTTAAGGTTACAAAATCAAGTTGTGAACATATTATTTTTGATTAATAATATTATCAAAGGAAATAAAATTTTTTAAATTTAAATTTTTTCTTCATAATTTTTTTTCTTAAATTTAACATATTTTTAATATGTTAAATCTGAGTTTATTTTATTTATTTATTTATTTTTTTTTAATTTATCGACTTTTAAAAACTTGTTACTCATTTATTGAAAATATTCTATTTTGTTTAACAGATAGAACAAAGGGCCGAATATTTTCTATCAGAATCAGAAGAGCGTATCTTAGTTCGTTATTATGAAACACAATTGAGAGAATTGGGTAAACGATTTAATCCACAAATGCCACGAGCTACAGTAGCAACTGCATTACATTATTTCAAAAGATTCTACTTAAGAAATAGTGTAATGGATTATCATCCAAAAGAAATACTAGTCACCTGTGTATATTTAGCGTGCAAGGTAAAACGATTAATAATATTTTTTAACTTTTTTATTTTAAATATATAATTTATATAATTATTATTTTCAGGTTGAAGAATTTAACGTTTCTATATCTCAATTTGTGTCAAATATAAAAGGTGATCGAGATAAAGCATCCGATATTATTCTTAATAATGAATTGCTTCTCATGCAACAATTAAATTATAATCTCACTGTTCATAATCCATTTAGACCTGTAGAAGGTTTATTAATTGACATTAAGGTATTTTTTTAAATTAAAAATACAAATTCAATTTATTGAAATTAATTACTTTTTGAATTATAATAATTCTTTATTAATATTAATTTTTTTTTTAGACACGTTATCCAGGAATAGAAAATCCAGAAAGATTACGTCCTTATATAGAGGAATTTCTTGATAATGTTTTTATGACTGATAGCGTTTTACTTTATGCTCCAAGTCAAATAGCATTGTCCGCTATTCTTAATGCAGCATCAAAAATCTCATCAACTTTAGACAGTTATGTTACTGATATTCTATTTTCAAGGGACCATTTGGGAGGAATTATCGAAGCAGTTAGAAGTAAGATACTTACAAAAAGAATTTACTAATTTGTCAAATCCATACAATCGACTCTTGCTCAATTGATTAGCAATAAATTGAATCTCAGTAAATTGAAGTGTTTTTCAGGCCCTTTTAAAAACACTAGATAAATTGAAAAAATTCCATTAATTTTGGTCACTTGATAAATTGAACTTTTTTTTTGACGTTAATTTATCTTCGATCACTCAAATTAAATTCAATGGAACCGAACTCTCTATAATTTGAATTCTATGAAACCAAACTTTATATAATTTTTCATTAAATAAAAAATTCTTTAAACATTGGGATGCACTTAAACAAAACAAAATTACAGATTTCTTTGGAATAAATAACATAACATAACAGAACCTTCCGTTACAAACTAAACTTATGAAAAATGTACCTCTTGTTAATTTGAATTTTTTCTTATCTTCATTTGATTATTGAAACATTCGATAAATAAAACTCTATAATTTGGACTTTTTTTCCCATCCCCTTGAGATTCAATTTATCGAGAGTCGACTGTATTAAAGTATTTTGATTTTCAGAAATAAGATCGATGGCTAAATTCATTGAAACTCCTACAAGAGAATTTGTGAGGCCTTTAGAAAAGAAATTGGAAAGATGCAGAAATCAAGACAACAATCCAGACAGTGAAATGTAATATTTTTTAAATATTTTAATTTAACCCTCCTTCGAATTAATTAAATTGCTGAAATCGGTACCAAAACGGTTCATTTTATCCTGTATAGAAAATTTTATATTTCAACTTGATTTAATAGTTTTTTGGGTCACTGATTATGAATCCAAGGTTCGTTTTTTAAAATTCAATATGGCGGAAATTTATGAATTTTTTTTTAATTTAATCGGATTTTGGGTTTTTCTGTGAAGTGGATAACTTACCGTATTAATTAATGGATCGAAGTTATTTAGAATTTTAAAAATTATTAAAATATGTGGAATATAAGAACATAATCTTAATTTTTTCGACTTTCATTTGGTATAAACTATTCAGGCCTCGGATTTTACGACTTTTTTTTTAACTAAAATTATTCTCTAAATTAATTATTTTAAATAATTTGAATGAAATTCTTTTAAAAATTCAATTATCTTAAACTATTTTCAATTCAATTGTTTTTTAAAAAAAAGGATATCTAAAATTATTTTCAGTTCTGTAAAATTTTGAAAAATCTTTTGAAATTCAATTATTTTTAAAAATTTCAACTGTAACTTTTCCAAAAATTGTTTTCACCATTAAAACTAAAAACTATGCAAAAATTTTTAATTCAAATGATTCGCATAAATTAGACTTAAAAAAAAAATTTTTAATGGAACTTTAAAAATTTCTTTTTAGAAATTTGTCCTACTTCATTAAAATTTTGAAATCTGTCTTAGTTCAAAAATATAGAAAAAAAAATTTTCCTCATCTAATATATTCAAGTACTTATTTTTTGGTGAAGAACTAATTTACACAAATATTGGAATTAAATTTCTAAATTAATACTAAACTTCCATTAGTTATTTTTAAACTGGCGAAATATTAGATCAAACCACTACTGAAAATCATCTGAGAGTGGTTGCTGGTATATTTTTAAAAAATTTAATTTTAATATATTTAAAACTAGGTGAATTTTTAAGTTCATTGGTCACAATATCGTATAAATTTTATTTCGTTTTAAATTTAATTTATTAAAATAATAAAAAAAAAAATTTATTTTGCTTCCTCGTGGAGGAAGCTATGTAGTCCTTTCGTTTATAAACTTTTTAAAAATGGTGAAAACAAATTTTCCTCTATATAGAAACATGTTATATGAGATCCTGATCAATTGTCCGGATGTATGTATGTGTGTGTGTATGTGTGTGTGTGTGTGTATGTGTGTGTGGATCGTTTTTGTGAACACGATATCTTTAACAGGTTTTAATGGATTTGGATAAAATTTGGTAGGCTTATTTAACACATTAATCTCTCAAAAATGACGAGAGGATTTTTAAAAATACCCCAAAAAAAAAATTTTATCGTCTATTTTCCAAAAATTTTTTTTTAATTGAAAAATTTTTTAAATCGAAAAACTTAAGGTAATATATAATATAATCGTCTTCTTTATGTCAAGATGAATCGATTGATATATATAAAGTATAGATTTGATTGAAATTTAAAGAATTAAAGAAAGTTAAAAAATCAAAAATTCTCATTTTAGCTAAAAAATGATGTGTTTATTTAAATTCATGTTTATATATGAAATAATTTTATTCCCTGCATTGAAACGAATTGGTTGGTATATATAAAGTATAGATTTGATTTAAAATTTGAGAATTAATAAAAATTGAAAAATCGAAAATTCATATTTTAGCTAAAAAATTTTGTGTTTTTTTTAAATTCAAGTTGATGAATAAAATGATTGTATTCCTTGCATTAAAACGAATCGATTCGTATATATAAAGTTTATGTTCACTCAAAATTAATTAAAATTTTCTTTATTTTTCAAAAAATTTAATTAATTTAAAACATTTTTAACTCGAAATTTTTTAAATCAATCAATTGAATTGGACAAATTCATTGCTTCCTTCACGAGGAAGCGAATTTTTTGCTTCACACAATGAGGAAGCATAATGTTTATGAAATAAACATAAAGGACCCCCTCCTTGTTTTAAAAGTAGGAGGTTCACGTTGTGATTTTGTAACATAAAATGTTGCTATTTTTTTGTGACATTATTCAAAAACTATAAAATATTAGATATTATTATTTCTTAGAAACATAAATCAATTTATTATACATCATAAAATGATGGAATTGTTATACAGGGCGTTTAAAAAGTATGGAAACTTGCAAATATCTCGAAAAGTACGCATTTTCGTGAAAAATGTTCAAAACAAAAATTGAACGTATTTGCAAGTTTCATTACTTTTTGAACACACTGTATAATTATTTTACTTTTAAATATTGATTCGAATTTAAAAAATTTGTTCAGTAAAAAAATTACACAATTTTTCAAAGCTTGTAACTTTTTTCTAGAAGCTTCAAAAAATTTGGGATTTCGTACATATTTTAATATTGATATAATTTAACCGCTATAAAAATTTAATGAGGTTTTTTTGCTCCGTTTGAGAAATAATAAATTTGAAAAATATTTACTTATAAAGTATCTCAAATGATTTTCAGTGGTTTGACCCTATTTTTTTCTATTTTTTCAATAAAAAACGAAAACGAAAACAAAAAAATAAGGAAAATTTTTTAAATATGAATTATAAAAAACATATTGTGAAATTTATTGTTAGTATAACTGTATTAATGGAAAATTAGAATAATTATTGAGTATTAATATTTAATAAATTTGAAATTTTTTTTAGATACAAACAAAGAATGCTGGATATGTTGGATGAAGAAGATTTATTGGACAATGAAAAGTATGCAAAAATAATTCAAGATCAAGCGGCAAATGATGAAAAAACTCTAGGCGTGTCTAGGGTCTCACCAAGTGATTAATTCCTTGATTCATAAAAATATCGAATTTAGACATGGATTTCAAGATTTTGGATTTTGAGTTTCCACAGTGAGTGATATTAAATAATTTATTTAAGTTTGATATAATTATTTTTTTTCAATACCAATACAAATATGATAAATATCAGTTTAAAACTTTTTTAAATTCAATTCCAAATATCTTTTAAAAGAGTATATAATTTATTAGCAAAATGTTTAAATTTACAAAATATTTTAAAAAACAAAATTGTTAAAAACAAGTAAAAACTTATTTAAAAAAAAAAAAAAAAAAAAATAACTACAATAATATTTCTCTCATATTTTGTTGTCAATCAATTTTTGGGGAAAATATAATATTTTTTTGTAAAACAATGTACATTTTATAATATAATTATTATTTTACGATTCATGATGCCTAAAATCTATTCTTTGCATTACATGATAAGTAGGATGATTTGAAGGTACATCATGAAAAATTGTGTCATGTTGTCCTGATGATAAATTACTTGGTAATGGTTGAACAATGGGCAGAGACGATGGTAAAAGAATTGGTGATAAATGCGTTTGCAAAAGCGACGATCCAGGTTGCGGTTGACCTGGATAATTAAAGAACCTAAAAAATATTTTCTATTAATATTTATGCATGACAAGAAAAAAAAAAACTACCAAATAATCCTTTACAATTTTGATATAATCATAATATTTATTTATTAATAAAAACCATGTATCTACAAGTGCTGCTTTTTTTTCTAAAAAAAAAAAGTAGAATACTACACGAAGACTTTGTTTCATTTCATACCATAATCGATCTCCAACGAAAATTGGTCTTGGCGCGGGAATTCCCAAATTTGAATAGTATTGTTGTGCCAAAAGTTCAACGTCATTTGTGTATTTTCTTTTCCATTTTGTTCGTCTATTTTGAAACCAAATTTTTATCTGTAAAAAGAATAGAAATAATTCTTTTGTTAAAATTTGTTCATAAAAAGTTGGTAAAAATTTGAGGTAAAAATATTTTGTGCTTTTTCTTCTAAACTATTTAGAAGGATATGTGGAGTTGAAATGGACTGTGTGTAATATATCCTAATTAAAAAATCGACGCCTCTCTGGTCTGACATTGCTACCACAGCTCGTTAAGTTTGAGAAATATTGTGACAGTTATGTCTGCAGCTCGACGTGTCTCTCTCTCTCTCTCTCTGCTTTTCATCTACGGTTACTTCCCTTTACAGAGATTTCGAAAATAATTATTTCGCTTAATATAAAGAAAAAACAATTACGTATAAATTGTAAAAAACAATTGCCTTTGATAAAATATACTTCTCAAAAATACTTTCCTTTTCTCTCGAAAGTAGAGAAAAAATTATATAAAAATTGAAAATCCTTCGTATTTAGTATTTTTTTTTTTTATATAAATATTTGAATGTAGAAAAAAATTTCTAATGATTTAGAAAATTGTTTATAAAATGTAAAATAAATAAAAAGGGGTGGTTAGGTGCTAATTGGTGATACATATAAGGAAGGAATCTCCCCTATGGCGCCAAGCCCCATGAATTGGCGCCTACACATATGGTGCTACATAATTCCTGTAGTCCCATAATTCATAGTTAGTTCATCTCCAGTTCGCGGAAATTCAAAAACCTATGAATCTTAAGGCTGCGGAAGTGTATGTGCCTTTATCGTAATTCATTAAAAACTCATCTCATATTGAAACATTAGAAATTTGAAATATTTAATTCTCTATATAGAAAAAAAAGAGTCTTTCGGAGAAAAAGGAAACATCTGGAAATTTATGCAAAAATTTAACTACAATTTTCAACTATATTTATTGTAAAAGTTTTACATTGATAACGAAGGTTATTTTTTTTTTTTTACAAAAAATGTTTATAAAACCTCGTGTAAAGTGTAAACATTGTAAAGTATAATGGGATTTTTATTTATTCATTTTATTAACTTTAATAAATTATTTATTTTTATGAATTTTTTTTATTAATTATTTTATGAATTTTTTTTTCAGTTGAACAAAATTTACACAAAAATTTACACACATATATATAGTTTTGTACATGAACAACAACATTGCAATAAAAGAAAAATAAAAAATTTAATATAAACGAAGAAAAAAAAAAATATTTAAAATAAGTAGGTAAGCCAAAGTGCGCGCAAAAAGAAATAAAAATGAAAAGAATTTACAATGTTTGATATAAAAAAGTACTTTATAAGAACAGTTTTTTTAAAACAAAGTTTGCTACCTAATTAATAAATTTAAATTGAATCAGATTTAATAAATATTCAGAAACATTGTTCTGCAAAAAAAAAAGAAAATAATTTTTCAGAAAATATTATCTTATTTGTGTCACGTTAAGGGATGAGAAACCAGTGAAATTTTCGTTGTTTTAGGGTGTTAATTTTTTTTCGACATTATTGAGGGTACAAAATGATTTAAAATTTAGAGACAAATATTTTATTATAGTTAACAAATTTTGTAATAGAACATAAAATTTCGGAAAAATTGAGATTTTAACTTCTATCATAATTTTCATTTTTTTTCATCGACAACTTTTTAAAATACTTTTTTTCATGATTCTGAACAATCAAGCGTAAGGGTTTTTAAATTTGTTAATTTTTTCAAAAAATACAGTTTCTAAACAATAATTTTTTTTTATAAAAAGAAGCAAACAATTTTTTTCCCGGTTTTCTGATTTTGAACAATCAATCATATGGATTTAAAAAAAAATTTTTTTTCAAAAAATAAAAATTCTAAAATGGTAAAAAATATTATTTTCAAACATAATGTTAGAAAAAAATTGTTTTTGCTTCCTCGTGGAGGAAGCTATGTAGTCCTTTCGTTTATAAACTTTTTAAAAATGGTGAAAACAAATTTTCCTCTATATAGAAACATGTTATATGAGATCCTGATCAATTGTCCGGATGTATGTATGTGTGTGTGTATGTGTGTGTGTGTGTGTGTGTATGTGTGTGTGGATCGTTTTTGTGAACACGATATCTTTAACAGGTTTTAATGGATTTGGATAAAATTTGGTAGGCTTATTTAACACATTAATCTCTCAAAAATGACGAGAGGATTTTTAAAAATACCCCAAAAAAAAAATTTTATCGTCTTTTTTCCAAAAATTTTTTTTTAATTGAAAAAATTTTTAAATCGAAAAATTTAAGGTAATATATAATATAATCGTCTTCTTTATGTCAAGATGAATCGATTGATATATATAAAGTATAGATTTGATTGAAATTTAAAGAATTAAAAAAGTTAAAAAATCAAAAATTCTCATTTTAGCTATAAAATGATGTGTTTATTTAAATTCATGTTTGTATATGAAATAATTTTATTCCCTGCATTGAAACGAATTGGTTGGTATATATAAAGTATAGATTTGATTTAAAATTTGAGAATTAATAAAAATTGAAAAATCGAAAATTCATATTTTAGCTAAAAAATTTTGTGTTTTTTTTAAATACAAGTTGATGAATAAAATAATTGTATTCCTTGCATTAAAACGAATCGATTCGTATATATAAAGTTTATGTTACACTCAAAATTAATTAAAATTTTCTTTATTTTTCAAAAAATTTAATTAATTTAAAACATTTTTAACTCGAAATTTTTTAAATCAATCAATTGAATTGGACAAATTCATTGCTTCCTTCACGAGGAAGCGAATTTTTTGCTTCACACAATGAGGAAGCATAATGTTTATGAAATAAACATAAAGGACCCCCTCCTTGTTTAACAATGGGTTTGAATAAATAAAGTTTGCATGAAATTATTTTTCATCAAATTCAAATTTTGATAAATTTTGTTATTTGTAATAAATGACATTTAAATATGAAAAAATGAGGATAAATAGGGTGTCTAACGGTCAGGGAAGTCAGAGAAAAGTCAGTGAATTTCTTTAATTTTCTGGAATTTTTTATAAATACATAAATTAAAGTAAATATAAGTTTCAAAATTTTTACTTTTTTCCCAAAGCAAATGCAAATTAAAAAGTTGGCCTTCACACTCAATTATTAAACATGTGATATATCTTATATTCATTAAGTAAATAATTATTTACTACTATTTATTGAATCTAATAAATGATTTTTTAAACTTGGATAACAATTAATTAATTTTTTTCAGTGAAATATTTGGTTTTTTAATATATATATAAATAAAAATTATTTGATACAATTTTATTTTATCGGTTCAACTTGAAATAAAGTAAATTATTCATTAATACGAATAATTTATTATTTAATGCTAATACCCACATTTAACTTATAAAAATTTTTACGGCGTCGAATATTAAATTATCGAATTTCTATTTAGCAAAATTGTATAAAGTGAATTTTATATTATGCAAAATTTTCAATTTACATTTAACTAAAATTCGATTTAAAAGAATTTCTATTTAGCAGAACTCTTATAAAGCATTTTTTCTAATACTTTTAAAAAATTTTAAATTAATATAATTTCAATATAACGAAATTTATGTCTATAAAAATTGACAAAAAAAGAACTAAGTAGAATTTTTCTTAAATGTGAATTCTGTTAAATAAGAATTAGTTCGAATTAAAATTTTCTTTCATAAAAACTTTGTTAATTAATAATTTTGTTAAATTAATAGAAATTCTGTTAATTGTGGATTTATTTAATGAAAATTCTGTTAAGTAAATATTTTGATAAATCGAAATTTACTAAAATAACAATTCTGTTATAAAAATTGTTCTTTAAGAAATTTTTCTTGAAATAAATTCCGTTAAATTGAATTTTTATTAATTTAAAATTCGATGTACTAGAAAATCTACTTTATATAATTTTACTAAATAAAAATTTGATAATTTAAAATTTGACGCCGTAAAAATTCTTTTAAATTAAATGTTGAGAATCTTTATACGTCCTCAATTAGTTTATTTATTTCCCTTAAATATTTTTTATTTTTTACAAAACATTATTTATTTGGTTCAAATACATATGCAATTAGTGGATAATAGACAGGTTGAGTTTTAAAATTTCAGTTACCTGTGTTTCAGTGAGTTTTAAACTTTTACTAAGTTGCAATCTTTTGGCGACGCTGAGATATTTATTTCTCTCAAATTCAGCTTCCAAAGATTTGATTTGAGCCGCTGTAAAGGCCGTTCGAGGTCTTTTCTTTCTCTCCTCATCACTAGCTGCACTTGAACTTCTTTCATGAATATCTTTTTCATCGACATCAATTCTGTTTGTTGAATTATTATCGATACTGCTGGTGCATGCTTCTATAAAAATAAAAATAAATAATTATTACACACAAAGTAATTAATTATATGTATTTTTTTTTAAAATACTTATATTCGAATTTAGCATTGTTGCTAAAAATGATTAAATAAAAATTAAATCTCCATATTTTATTCTCGAGAGGCGTGCCAGACCCATTAAGAATAAGTTTATGTGATGTACCTCGCGTAGAAAGCACGCTACACAGCAGTGTTAGGTTCAATTACCCAGAAGAATTCTCTTCCTCATCAATCTCAACCTTTTTTAAGACGAAGCTGTTTATGTTTATATTTATCCCCCGTTATACGGTGATAGTTGACGCCTATGCGCTTTTACTCATCATGAAGAACGTCTTCAGTGTATATCTTCAACTAGTTTGTTGTGAGTAAGAGACTTAACTTTTAAGCGTCGGCTATCATCTTCTAATTATCTTTCCATTCGTCATATGGCGAACAACTATACGAAACGAGTGCTATACTAATGAACATGTTTCCGATGTTGTGTCAGAAGAGAATATATATATAAAGATAGATGTACAAAAATATTGTTATTGTTATATATATTTTAGTAATACCACACAAAATTAAAAGGCATTAAAATAAGCTGCAACGCTACTTATTTTAATCCAATTTTGCTTATTTTAATACCAAAATGGATTAAAATAAGCAAAATTGGATTAAAATAAGAAGCGTTGCAGCTTATTTTAATGCCTTTTAATTTTCTGTGACATTTTATGTCTGAACCGGATTGCTCGATTATAAAAAAAAAGAATTTATAATCAATGTATAATATTTCTGTAAGGATTTTCATTATTGTTTAAAGGACGGAATCAGTCCTTGATTAGGGGTGTTAATTTATTTACCGGTATTATTGAATATTCAAAGTTATATACTATAATATATCATAAAAAAAACCGCTGCCCAAGTTAAAGTAGGAATTTTTTCAATTTTGAAATATCAATAATTTTATAATATTTTATAGAGTAGACCAAATTTATTTAACTTTTACTGACCAAATTCATTTCAAATCAGATATCGTCGGAGTTGAAAATGAATTTTTTTCGCCATTGACATGAAAAAGTGTCTTTTTTGTGCCTGTTTTGGGCAGATAAAGTAGCACTTTTTAAGGCAGTTTGGGCCAACTGCCTAAAAAAGACTTTTTTAGGCAGCAAACTGCCGTATAAAGTCTTTTTTAGGCAGTAAACTGCCCTATAAAGTCTTTTTTAGGCAGTTGTTAATTTTTGCATAATTTTTTTTTTTGCTTTTATTTTATTTATCAATTTTTATTATTTTTTTTCTTTAAAATTGTTTCACTTTTTCATAACAATGGCGAAAAAAATAGCGTATGTGGCTCGCACGTAGTAATTTTTAGGTTCGGATGATTTCAATACTCGCTGTCTGTGCGACTTCGGTTCGACTCGGCTCGCTTTCGGCTCGACTCGACTCGCCTTCGGCTCGTCTTCATCTCACCTACAGCTCGCCTTCGTCTCACCTACGTCGCACTAACGACAGCTCGTACTGAAAATTACATCCTCACCTAAAAAGTACTACTTTACGTGCTTGCCACATAATATACTATTTTCTCCAAAATGTTGTTCTTCAATGCTTTTTAGGCGAAACGTTTTTCTTTTTGGCTGAAATTTTTTTTTTTAGGAATTTATCAAGAATTTAATTTAATAATTCGAAAAAGTCGATTTCTTTATTTTAATTAAATTTAATTTGTTAATAAATATTTTACTTTAAATAACTAATGTTATTATATATCTATTAAATTCATTTTATTAATTCCTTAATTTTAATTAAGTAGGACAAATTTATAAAACAGATTCTGAAAACAATTGAATTTTAGAATTTTTATTAGAAAAACTTTTTTAAATAATTAAATTTTTTTAAAAATAATTGAACTTTGGAAGACCTTATAGTTGAAATTTTTAGAAATAATGAAATTTCAAAAGATTTTGTTAAATTTCAGACAATAATGAAATTTCAAATAATTGAAAATAATTTATTAAATAATTTTAGATAACATTTTTTTAAAAGTAATTAAATTTTCGAAGATTTACAATTCATATTTTTGAAATTAATTAAACTTCAAGTCGATTTTTAATTAAAATTTTCTGTAGTAACTTCTGGTGATTAAGAATTTATTAGAAATTACAAACAAAAATTGAATTTAAATTGGTTTTAACTGAAAAATGATTTCGAAAAATTGAATTTTTGATGAATATTATAAAAATAATTTAAAATCATTAAATTTTGAAAGTGTTACAGTTGACATTTTTAGAAATAATATTAAATTTTAGAATGTTTTAAATAATTGAAATTTTTGAAAATAATTGAACGTCAAGTGATTTTGAATTGTAATTTTTTGGTAATTTCTTTTGCTGAATAATTTTAATAAAAATTAAAGACAAAAATTGAACATTACAATTTTTTAATTGAAAAATGCTTTCCGATAAATGAATTTTCAAAAAATATGTTATAAAAATCATTTAAATTATTGAATTTCAGAAGATTTATTATTAAAATTATTAAATTTCAAAAAGTTTTATATAAAAAGCTTTAAATTTAAATTTTTGGTGATTTGTTTTTAAATTATAAACAATTATTGAATTTCATACAATTTTTATTTGAAAAATAATTAAAAATAAATAATTTTGTGAAGAATTTCATTAAAATTATTAAAAACAATTAATTTAGTGAAAAATTTTGTTTTAAAATTTGTTAAATAATAATTGAAATAAAGAAGTTCTAATGAAGATCTGCATTGTATACTAAAAAAAGACGTATTTTGTTTAAATATTTTGTAAAAAAAAGTCGAAAAAATCGAATCTTATTAAAATAAGTCGGAAAAAAGTCATAAAAAGTCGAAAAAGTATCCGAGGCCTGAATTTTCCAAGTCGGAATCTATCTTAAGGGTATGTGGAAACCTCCCACGTGACCAAGTATAGGAGAATGTGTTTTGGTAGTATACATCTTTCTCTAAAATGAGAAAAGATTTTTGTCTAAAATTTTGAGGGATGATAGATTAGAGTACAAGGAATCTCGCTGTTCTCCGAAAAATACACAATTTTGCATTAAATTATTAAAAAATGAAGTTTAAAAAGTGTGATTTTTAAACGAAAATGAAAAGAAACATGGCGGCGCATACACAGACGTTGCTTGAGTGTGTCAGTGCTCCAGTAAACAGCGCCAATTCGAGTAAGTGGCCGCTGAATGAACTACGATATAATACATTATTTTATTATTTATTGCTTTATTTTTATTATTTTTGCGTTAAGTTATGGTAAATGAGTAAAACAGCGAGATTCCTTGTACTAAACAAAATCATTTCTCCTAAATTTTAACCCGAAATCATTTTTTATTTCAGAGAAAGTTTCAAACCACAAAAAAACGTCCTTTGCCCACATACCCTTAAAATTAAGAAAAAAAATCTTTTGATCGGGATATTTCATTTTTCTTTTTGGACCTCAAAGAGATTTCACTCTTCTTTACAAAATCCGATAAAAAAAAATTTTAAAGTATTCAAAAATAACCAAATTTTAAAACAACATTTTACTAAAAATCTTTGAATTCAAATTACTTAAAAACGCCTTTTTTTGTTCCATTTTTTTTTTTATAAAACTTTATAACTTAGTAAAAAAAACATTTTTTCAGTCAAACAAAAAAATAAGTTTTGTCTAAAAATTTTGTTTTGTTTATGCTTCCGAACGTACGGATTTTAATCAAGCAACCCAGTCCAGGATTTTGGAATGAATTTACGAAATTATTTATGTAGATTTATTAATTATAAATCACAACAATACGCGACGCTTTACGATGAAAATAACCTTAGCTGCCAAAAATTTTAAATTATGTTTCTGACTTTTGTAGTGAAAATACATAAAGAACATAAACTCTTTTTTAGATCCTCAATATTTAATAAAAACTGATTTTGGTGTTACATAATTAAAAATGAATTAAAAATGATCAAGGTAAAATTATTACTAAACATAACCTAATTTTTTTTGTACATAGCTAAGTTTCCATTCACCGTAAATAATAAACATATTATTATTTATAAAATAGTAATATTGTATTAAAGACAAGTTATCCGTAAATAAAATCATTAGTAATTTCTGTCATCGTTGTGAAATATGTAAGTAGAAATAATATATAGAAAATTAATAAACTGTATAATATATAGTATCAAATTTTGGCACAGCAAACAATTGTGCATTATTTAATGGTTACACAGTTGAAGGCAAAACGAATGGAGAACGTGAAAATCAGTGAAAAAGATGCTCAGGTGGCTTTACTGCTGCTAAGCAATAAATATCTCTAAAAACTATTCGTGGCAGGGTCTCATGGGCCACGAAGAAGCGTTTACCGACTACTAATTGTCAGATGGCGACGTAATTGTCGTATTTTTTTTCAGTCTCTCACACTTCTTAAGCCTAAAGCTCGCTGCTGGCTCGGCTAAAACTGTACCACCCTTAACTCACTCAACCAATATTGTGCGAACAAACGAAATTACAACATCTGTAAACCAAACTTGACTTATACAGGCAATAATTATTCCCAATATATTGTACACTGCTGACAACAATTCAAAGTATCTTTATCCAGCCAATCAACATAACTTGGTGTTAATTTCAATTAAAATTCACTAAACAAAATTTTTGAAAAATTAATAAAATAATGTAGAATTTCTATAAAAATTATTTATTTTATCTCCCATGCTTTAAAAAAGTATTAAAAAGTATTGGATTTGATAAAATTTATATAATCTAAGAATTGAAATTTCAATTAAAACTTATCAAATACTGAAATTTCTATCCTTTTCAATAGAAAGTGGAAAATTTAATCAATGTCTATCAAACATATGGATAAAATTTCTATCAAAATTAATACTATCCCATACAGCACCCAAAATTCCCTGAAACTTGACAGAACCTCACATGGCGAGGTTCATACAAGTTTGTGTCGATGTTTAAATGTCCACATGAAAAGAATATTCACAC